GTCTGTTGGTTCACTATAATCAAATTATCTCGGCCAAATGAAATCGGAGGTGGATTGTAAAGGTACCTCGGTAAAGTTCGAACTCTGCCCTTTCGCGCGATACCACTCATGCGGTTGGTCAAAATATCAAACAGCTTCAAAAAGTGCGGAAAAGACATGCGTGTGCTCAACCGGCTGGCGCGCGGCAGGGGACGCGCATAGTGTGCGGCCTGAGCGCTCCGTTTCTACCCCCTGACCCGTGTAGGTGTAGGTTTAACTCAGCACGACGGGGTAACGCACTCTAAATGGGGAGGCAGGGGGCGAGGGAATTTTTTTTTAACGCAAGTGAGATTGCGAACAAATAATCCTGGTACAAATTTGATCAACGTTAGACAATACAAAGAATGTGCGGCTAGCTTAAATACAACTTTCTTTCAATGAAGAATAGCACAAGGACATATCTAGCCTATAGGCTAAGCTGCATCCATCAAAATATAATATGTTTCCTGGGAGCACCGGCGCTTGACCAATCAGAGAGCGGCGGTATATTTCTCTTCTGTGTCCCTCTTGTGCGCTTCTTGCGACCTAAAATGTTTCACGTTTATGGAAAATAAGAGGAAAGTCGACCAGGACAGTTTTGTTGACGTCGAAAAATTGTTCGGTCAGTCCACGAACAGTACGGATTCTAACACCCTGTCTGTGTTCGAGGACGAACGAACACGAAAAATTTGGATTCGAACACCCTGTGTTCGAGGACGAATGAATAAGAACAGTTTGGATTCGAACACCCTGCGTTCGAGGACGAACGAACACAAAGAGTTCGCCGGTCGTTCGAGTTCGTTTGACTGCGAACATGTTCGCATATATTTAGCCCCAGGGGCTATTACCGCAACTCCTCAGGAGGGGATGAAGGGTGACAGACGTGGGGGTCTGTTCAAGAAAATCCAAAGGAAGCTTATGTGCAAGTGGAAAGTCGGTCGGACCCATACCGTTCGCCTTCCAGATCCACGATCCTGTCAAAACATTCAAAACTCGCCGCGAAGTTTGATGCGCCCTTACGCTGAACTGAGGTGAGGTGGCGACCGAGGAAGAAATCCCCCCAGATGAAAGTGTTTGAGTTAGTACGATAGTACACCTGATTTTTAGCGTCATTTTTCTTAACACAGTATTTACAAAACTTTGTTATTTTTACAGCACTTTTCCTTTTGATTTCTACCACACGTCATTACGCCGTTAGTACGGGGAGTTAGTTCCCAAGTAATTTGCCCCTCGGTGGCGACCACCCAAAGCGTCCCACCCCGGTCCAGGCTTTATCTCAAAGCCCTCCCACGCTCAACCCCCTGCGGCGCCGCGTCCGACCGTGAGAGCGATCAAAGGTGGAGGAAGTTCCGGGGTAAAAACGGATTGGCCGAGCTCCATATACATATAAATATTGAACGTGGCCAGCCCCAGTAGAACGTCAGCGCCTACAGAGCGCCTATTAGGTGCCCGTCTCAACACCGCCACCAAACATCGCGAGAAAAGAGCCTTTCCGGGCGCTTTGTGATCGTCGTTTGGTCAAAAAGCGTCCTGAAAGGCGCTTTTCTTGCGAAGTTTGGGGGGCGGTGTCGAGGTGCTTTTAAAAAGCACCTAATGGGCGCGCTGTAGGCGCTGACGTTCTACTGGGGAGTGAAGTCAGTGCCGCCTCGCTCTTTACATTCCTTCACTTCTTTCTTTGGTATACATACCAAGCCAACAGTCAGTAGAAATTCTTTCGCGCCTATCATTGCTCAAACACCTAGGCCCTTGCACGTGTGGTAGCTTTTTTGAACAAGTATATGTACTTGCAGGCAGACCGTACAATGCCTGGCATTAGCAATTCCGAACGTGACTAAGATAAATATGCCGTGCTGGTTGTCACGTCTTTCATTTAAATGTTCAGAAACGTGCCTTACCGAGTCAGCTAAAGTCATTTTACAGATGTCACGATTCAAATGAATACTGGAACAAGACTCGGCAAACACTGTAACAATCTGAATAACATCACTCTAATCAGTTATCACCATAATCCAGGCTCGCGTCTGGATCAGTGCGCGCGCCACACGCCGCGCGCCACATAAGGCACGAGGACGACGACGTCGGTAGACCGCGCAACCGTGCGGCGCCGGGGAGGACAAGTGTCATGACGACACGCTAGAGGGCAGAGGGTGCGAAGGCCGGCGTCGGTGGTGCGGGCCGGGCGGGGCCGCGAGGAGACGATGACGATCACCACGGCGAAATGCGGAAGGCCACGGAGGCCGACGGCAAGGGCGCGGGGTGCGAGAGAACGAGGTCAGAGACAGGAGGGCGGAGAACTTACCTCATCGTACATTTCCCGCCCAACCGAGTTCTTTTTTCACAAACATCTTTCTTAACAATTTGTACAGATTTGTTTCTGCGGGTAAAGTTTTAAAACAAGAAAACATTGGTATAAATAAATAGTAGTTAATAGCAAATGTATGATAACAATGATAAAATAGTTTGATCTGATTGGTTGTACAGTAGCAGAATTGAGAAATTTCAGTAAAACATTTCACTCTGACGGCGCCTACTGCAACAATCGTAATTAGTGATTAGAGACGGTAAAAACATGTAGTTACCATTTTAAAAGCCCGTCGCTTTAATTTTTCTTTACTTCCGAGTCCGTTGCAGCAATTCTTTCCAACTCATTCTTTCACACTAGCCGCCTTCTATTTAAGGTCTTGACAGAAGTCCTCCCTTGACTGGCTCTATGAGTTGGATGAGTTGGACGGAATTGGTCGGGTCGTCTACTCGGGTGTGTCGCGAGCTACGACACACAAGGGCCTCAGCAGCCCGTCCCTCCCGCCCCGACGTTACTCTCCGCTCTTCCCCATCGATATGGGTTTTGTTCCTCAGGCTTTGGTTGGGGTTGGCAGGGAGCGTACTAGAGTGTACCGCGCATGCACAGCACACTTATGTTAGCTTCAGACGTTGACCCCCCGCCGCTCCCTCGCCCCCCAGGACTGACCGGCGGCCGTTGGCGCGCAGCTGGTCAGTACCAACAGTGGCCCCCCTCCAGCTTGAATGCCTACACATACTTTAAATCATTGTACTACTTATATTGTCTTTTTGTTTAAGATTGTTGCTGCTGATGATTTAGAGGATAATATATAGAGAGAGAAACAAATCTAAAAGTACCCAAACCATTAAATGTGTTAAAAACCTTGGAACACAGACAACCGTAAGAGTACTAATAACTATGGTCAAATCTCTAGCAATTACAAGTTTTATACGAACCTTTAAATCTATTTCCAGGAAAAACACCCTATTGCTTGTGTTCATGAGCCAGTTGAAACCCCGTTGGTAGTCAAGCCCATATTGTGTTTTGAAAATTGCCGTAAAACAAGAATTTTAAATTTTTCACTGGACTTGCTGTGGAGGACTTTGAAATTTTGTTTGAGCTATTAGGAGGGGATAGTGTCATAAGTTTAAAGCAGAAATATCAATTAAATGACATCACCCCAAGAGAATCCAGATATTCAGGGCGTGATGGCCTCTTTCTTTTTCTCATAAGATTGAGAAGGGGTGTTCCACTAGAAGACCTGGCAGAAATAGCCCATATTAGTGCACCCTATCTCTGTGATTTAATGTATATTATGACTAGGCATATCTATCTAGTTCTTAAGAGCACGGAAAACAAGACTTTTCCTGTTGCAGCACAGCCAAAGAAGAAAAAGCCAAAAGTATTTAAGCCGTTCCCAAATTTAAGAATAATAATAGACAGCGCACAGTTTTTTATAGAAATGCCAACAAATTTTGAGCAGCAAGGCAATACATACTCAGCTGCTTACAAGCATCACAACACCGTCATTGCGGCTGTTGGAATATCCTGCCCGGGGGCTGTGATTTATGTAAGCCCTGTCTTTGAAGGCAACATGAGTGACAAAAGAATTATCTTAGAAAGCGGACTGTTGGAGCGTCTCAGTGAGGGAGATGCAGTTATGACCGATAGAGGATTTGATATTGAAGGGGAACTTTTAGACATTGGAGTTACCCTGTACAAGCCACCAACTCTAGGAGACCGCAACAAATTGACAAGTGAAGAAGAAATTTTGACTGAAGCAATCGCATCTGCTACAATTTATGTAGAGCATGTGATAGCAGACATCAAGGACAATAGATTGTTGCAGGGAATTATACCAATATTGTTGATCCCAGTGATTTCTGATTTAATTTACATAGCAGCCTATCTCTGCAACTTCAAAGAATCTAGGATACGTCAATATAAAAACAAGAATGGGCAAGGTAATAGATAGAAGACTGGTGAAGATAAAATTTAGAAGACTAATAGACATATGTGCTGTTGTATAGTGCTGTAATCATTTTATTTCAAGTATTTAGTATGTATAGCAGAAGTATAACAAAAGGACCAAAGTAAAAAAAAAAAAATGCTGCATGCATAGAACTATTTTTGTCCTCTACTTAAGTATTACTAACTAAGTACTTTACTATCTAATTATTTTACGATTGTTATTTAAGCCTCAGAACTGCTACTGTTAGTGCCCCCAAATTAAAAGTAATTAAACTACAATATTTCTTTAATTTACCCAACTTCATTGATCAAAATCAGAAGTCAAGGTATTGAATTACAATACCTGCATGTCCATTTAATCTGATGTGAGACCACAAGTTCAAAAGCACTGCACTCACATGGCTGCATCTACCAAGTGATGACTGTGGACAGGTATCATCACAGACAGCCTTCCACACACTGCCTGAGATTATTGATATGGCAATCATCACATTGTAGACCTTCAGCGCCATAGAAGCTCTAACCTGGGCCTTGATAAAATAATACCTCCCTTCCCGACAATCTTCCAACTTTCGCACATTTCCACTCTTAACATACTGGAGGCCCCTTCGAAATTTTTTGTTCCTTAGACGACATTCTGATTCAATGACATCAAAGGGATCAGCAACTAAATTTGAGTCAGTAGCATCATCATCTTCTTCAGATGATTCTGTAAGTTCACTTTGATCTCCCACTTCTTTGTATTGAGGCATAGTTTCTTCAAGGTAATTTTATATATGTCCAAAGTTAAAAGAGAGGGGGATATGCCTGCTTGGAAAAGAGTCCCAATTACGGAATGGGAATGTAATTTCTTCAGAAACCTAAAAAATAGGGAGGTTTGTCTATAATAATCTATAAAGTAAACATTGGAGACATGCAAATCAGCAAATTTATAAGGATGTTAAAAACTAACCACCAACTTTTGCTGTTTCTCAAGCATCATTTTATACCATATACCTCCATCCACTTTGGGATCAATTAAATGATCTCGTTTCATATTCCTCAATTGATTTATTCTGTTAAGGATACATCATTAAAATATTACTCCAAACTTAAACAGAGAATAATCTTACTTCAAACTTGTAAGGGAGACAAGAAAATAAATACCTTGCTATTAGTACATTTCTTTTACCATGCCGAGGCATACCTCGGCAAGCCAGCCACCTTCTTAACTAAAATGCGTTGTAATTGTTTATATCTCCTTTCAGGCAAGCCCCAGGTACAATAGTTTCTGTGAGTACAATTTGTGAAGGAAGACCTTAATTGATCATCTGTAAGCAAAACACAGTAGCTAAACCACTAAAACTTTTTAGAAAAATAATACAGAGGTATTGGTGATATATGAGGACAACACTTTACAGCATTTGAAAGTTCTTCAAGCTCCGCTCTCTGGGATACATCATCTGCATTATCAGCAGGAGAACCAAACTGTCTTAGGTAAAGATTGGTTTAAGACATCTGTTTGTTTCAGGAAGAACTGTCATTCGCAATTGTTGATGGAAAATGTGTACATACCCCAGCAGTCACATCATTTCCCAGACTAGGTTTTAGCACAACAGCATACTCATTTGAAGAAACAGTGGAGTTTTCCTTTGGTTCTGTTCTCTTAGTAACAGAGATGTAAATAGGAGAAACCTAAAAAGTTTTAAAAAAATAATTAGGTCCAGGATTCTTTAATAGTCCTCAGTCAATAGCAGACTTGTTTGGCAAGCAGCTGGGCCTGTATCTTTGTCTAAAAAGGGTTTTGTACCAATGGCGTATTCATTTGATGATTGTGAGGAGTTTGCCTTTGGTTCCGTCCTTTTAGACACATGGATATAAATGGGAGGAACCTAAAAATAAAGATAAAAAGAAAGACAGGCTCAGATGATTGTCTCTTCAATCCATAAGAATACTGTAATTAGTTGAAATAAAAAGAGGTACATACAACGAGAGCCTCCTCATTTTCTAAAATTGGTTTTGTCCCAATGGCGTATTCATTTGATGACTGTGAGGAGCTGGCCTTTGGTTCTGTCCTCTTAGACACATGGATATAAAAGGGAGGAACCTAAAAATAAAGAAAGTTATGAACATATGTTTGTCTCTAAATCCCTGGGCATACTGTCAATACCAGTCTGTTAAGATGAAAAGAAAGAATACATACAGCTGAAGCCTCGTTTTTTTTCTAAAAGAGCTTCTGTCACAACAGCATATTCATTCGAGGACTGTGAGGAGCTTTCCTTTGGTTCTGTCCTCTTAGAAACATGAATCCGAATAGGAAGAACCTAATGAAAAAAACACACAAACAAAATAAGGTGAAGGAGAATGTGCCTCGTAAGTTGACAGAAATTCTGT